ATATATATATATATATATATATATATATATATATATACACATACTTTTCTACTTTCTTTTATAAAGGTGTGTATATATATATATATATATCTGTATATCCATAGATATATAATATATCAAAAAAAAGAAGAAAAACGAAGAACAGCATTAAAGATATACATATATATTATATATATGTATACATGTGTGTGTGTATGTAAAAAAAGAAATTCCTGTCGGAAACTTCAATAGACATCTCTCGGTGGTTGCAAAAGGAAAAAAAAGAAAAAACACAAAAAGAAAAAAAAAATGATATTCTCGCCGAAGTCGAGTGAGAATGGAATTTACTTACGTTTCTTCTTCTTCGCCGTTTTATTTATATATTGCTCGTTAGCGTATATTACGATTTTTCTTGTCGATTCGTATCGAGAGCATGCCGGAAGTCGAACCACAAACGCACACGCGGAGAACGAAAGATTTCTCGATTAACAATCGGGGTTCAACGAATTTCCGAAATTTTCTCAAAGTAAGTCGTTCGTTACAACTCCGAACGATCTCGCACTTTATGAGTCGATGACATACGTCACACACATGCGTATGTGTGTGTGTGTGTGTGCGTATGTGTTCGCGCTAAGTTCTCACGCGTGACGATTTCCTCTACCGGATATTGCCGATATCCTCGATTCGCTTTGGGCTTTGGATTGCACTCACGTCGAGAATCGTTAACAGCAACCCTGCAACCACATGCAAGTTCCTAAGAACGCTGTTCTCTCTCGTGTCCCTCCGCCCCCCGCCCTCCACCATTACCTGTTCTGTTGCCTGTGTCACACCTTGTATTTTATCTCTTCTCATCGTTGACGTGTCAGTTTCAATCCGAGTCTTTCAAAATGTATAGTTGTACGGACGACACGATTCTCCGACGATTTCTACTCCCCTCCGTCTCGATATGGATTGCTGGTATTCGACATGGATGCAATCTGTAATAAGCATAAGCCTATCGGATATTTTTACATTCCAACGCTGCCTCGATTCGAATTGTCATTTGAAAAAGCTACGATCACAAGTAG